GGGAGCAGTTTGGCGGTCCTCACGGGGTCTGGGCGTGGCTTTTTTTTGCACCCAGTCTCCCTCCACAAAATAAGCCAAGGCCCAGGCTTTTGCGGTGCCATAAGCATAATTCAGCAGCTAACATCTCAAATTTAAGAAGGCGACTATGCAGCTTTTTACTGCTATTTTCGAAGCTTGTATAATCTCAGCTTGCACGATAAACGCGTTCATGATCGACAACAAAGGTCAGATGACGTGTCGAGGCAACATTCCGGTGCGGCTGGACAAAGGTACGGTAGAGTGCCATCGTATGTGCATAACGCTCTGTAAACGATACGGACATGAGAAGAGCTTCCCTCCCAACGTGGCTAATATGGAAGCGCATCCTAAAGCCGTCTCCAATATGGATCCCAGATTGCTTCGAAATAGATAGGTAAATGAACCAACGACACTCCCCTGTGAATTGTCTGTATCTTATTGGCATACACCAATGGCGTACCCCTAAGCAGTAAGCCGCAGCCAGGAACGATGGCCAATTTCGTCTCGGTAAGTGAAGGCTCGAGTCTAGGCCCTGATCCCTTACACGGAATTATCCAACTCTGTTTATATGCACCTTGCGTTATTGCATGGATCTGTCTCGTGTTTCTGCATATCTGTATCTGTCTACCTCACCGCGTACCACCCACACCGGCTGGGATGATGGAGAGGACAAACAGCTGCAGCCGTCACACTTATCACAAGCATCAGAGACTCAGCCGGTCGTACACGCATCGGCTGGAAATGCTCCAAAGAGACGAATCAGCACCGTTGTCTTGCCGTCGAGGATGCACACTTGCAAGGACGTGGACAGCACCGAGTACAGAGTACGGAGCACGGTTCGCGAACAGAACGAGGAGAGAGGCGCGCACAAAAACAAAGGACAGAAGCACAGGGATGCAAACACAAACACCCAAACGAAACGCACGCACTCAAGACTCTTTCTTTCTCTCGGCACTTATACATCCAATGCACGACATGTCAAGTAGATTTCTTACACACTCTAGGTCACAGCATATGCGTCTACAGATGCGTTGTGTACACATATCTGTTTGCCATATAGTGTATCTCCCTCTCTTCTCTGTACGATCATGCACTGCATAACCTGTGTAGCCAGGCTGTGCGGCAGCGTGCATGCATTCCATACGAATGCACAGGACACACACGAAACATCCACCAATGTATTTCGTACATGATGCTGTGAGACGCAAGATGCATGGGACACACCACACGGGGAAAGGGCTGCGTTGTACATATTCCAGCCCCCTCCGAAGCGATAATTCAAAACAAGTGACGAGATAAATACGAGCAAACAAGTGCGGCCATAAATAGTGTGCAAAGGATCAGCACCCAAGAGCGCTGCAAGCTCATATCCTTGGCTATGCACATCTACGGTAAAGTGCTTGCATCTCGCCGAGAAAAGCCACAGACTAGATACGATTGGAAAACAGCACGCGGAAGCACACGTCGAAACCAAGCTCTCCCCTCTCTGCCACCGTTTCCTCACTTCCGACCCGACACACGAAAGTGGACATGTGACTAAATAGCAACTTGGGGTGCTGGTATCAAATGTGGGTAATTTTCATAAAATCTCACCGCTGGGGACACTCACAAGTCTATTAAAAACAGGCTCTCTCGAACCTCACAGTAGCAATACATGTTGGGGCAAGGAATGAAATCACTCCCGTGTCTCTTTGCAGGCTAATGTCTACATTATTTGCCCGGGCCCGATGGGTAGGGTAATAATCTAACAAGGTGCACTCTTCTCTCTTTCCAGAAATTGCAACCCAAAGTGGCCCATAGTATCGCTGTTCTCTACTGGATACCGCACCGGTGCCAAATGCCATATGCAGCGACGGCACAGAATCGGCGTATTATGATAAAGCACCAATATTGCCGATCAGTTAGAGAACAGTTCACGGAGGATGGAGGATGGAGGCGGCACAATCTATTTACGACGGCATACAGTCTCCCTATCTGTTGCGCCGCAGTTTCCCAACCTTTCTTGCATTTTTCTTTCTTCTCTCCTTCCCTGCATTCCTCCTCCCATACCTCCACATACTCTCTCCTCCGCCTATTATGGTATAGGGAAATACAAGACAACACATAAGCAGCATGGGACGACACGCACGGAATGTCCTGTTCTTCCATGGGGTGATAGCATGTACGGAGTGCAGTGAATACGAAGCGAGGCCAGACCAGAGAGCAGGCGTGTTCTTTCGCGTCTATTGATGGCAACCGCCAGGTGAGAATGATACAAACCACGTATGTAATAATTGGCTTGAAAAGTGGTCAAAAATGCAAGGTTTATTTATTAGGAGATTTGACAAACAAAGGAGAGCATCCCAGGACAGGAGGAAGCAGAAAGTAAGACAAGATTGCCTCATGTGCGTGAGAAGATGAAATGAAAGTCTGGCTACTCGAACAGGAACGGGTTTAGGGCTGGCCCGCCTTCGTGCCAGCCGGCGTGGCAACCATGTCCAGGCTAGGCGAGGGGCTGGAGATCCAAGTAATAATACTCCGCATGTCGTGGCACTGCGCCCCTAGTTCACGAAACTCCGGTGCCTGTGATATCTGAATTGCAGGAAAAAGAACCAGTCAAGAGTTGCAAGACAGCCCTATCTTTCCGGCATATCCAACTTTGTGCAGTTTGCCAGCAGGATGCAGCTCTTGTGTCTGCGTGTCTATTGTCAGCACACCATACGATTTTCGGCGTACTCTGGACAGTATTTGCACAAGTTCCTTTTGCTTTTTGCTACGTGTAAAAGGTGCTACGATACTACACAATCCGCTGCACGTAACAGACGAGGGGGAAAAAACCAAGAAAACAGAGCACCTTCCACGAGGGAAAGAGGCAGAGAAGGCTACCCAACAAACATCGTGCCTGTCCTATTTTTCGATGTGACGGGGGTAAGGAAAAAGCGCCGTACGGCTCTTCCGCTGTTCATCCTTTCAAGACGTGCAGATATTAACACGCAATGTGCCTCAGTCACTTCCCAATGCAACTTGCATCTCAATGTCGTGGATTGGCTGTGCCTCGATATTCAGCAAACAGATAGACGACGCACACATTTATTAACTGTACGACCTTGCTGTATCCATGCTGGTTTGGGGATATAAACAGTCCAAGAATTGTATGGCAAACCCGAACATAAAGTGGTAGGTTTAGCGTACCATAACTCTGTGTGCCTCCTAATAAGAGTTCAACGTAAGAGGGTACCGGGCCACGGCTTCTCAAACAGGGCATTGTCGGCTCTTGGGGGCGGCCGTTCGAGGACTGTGTGAACAGGTCATCGAGTGGCACAAGCTGTAGTGCAAAGTGTACACGATGTATAACGTGTAGGGGAGGGAATGGGAAAAGAACGAATAAAAGGGTGAAACGCCATGACCGGAAACACAAGAAGCAAATATTCCTGAGTACGACAGCAAACTCCGACAACCTGCGACAGGGCGGCGGAGATCACTTTATACGAGGGCAAGGAGAATATAGGATGGACATGGCACAGGAATTGAAGACAACGTGTTGGCGACAGAGACGAACGTGGATCACGATGAGACGAGAGATGGTAGAAGCCAGTACTTTGCACGACACACATCGCCGTTTCGTCGCTCGTTTGTGGATTCCTTCTTTCTTTTCTTTTTTTTAAAAAAAACAAATAGAATAAAACATTACCCGACCTTCCCGATCGACGTTCGAATACTTTATCTGCTTCTTGTAGATATCCGCTCTTCCCATGTCCGCACTGCCACGACATTTTATGATCTGCGCACATCCTTTCCTTGATCGTCCGTCTCTATTGCCTCTTTTCTTGTCACGCTCGGTCTTTATCTGCGGCTGGTTTCTCATCCGCTCTGCCGCATGCGATGAACCGTGGAGGTAGAAAACAAGGTAATTCTCGACTAGAAAACATGGTGGTCCATTCCTTGGGCCACAATGCACATCAACTGCGGGTGGCATGCAGATGCATACTCGTGAAAAAGCTGAGGGGATGTGCGCGGGCGCCGTGCGCGGGCGCCGTAGATCGATTCGCCCGGACACGCAGGTCAAACAGCTCAAGAAAAGGGGGTTCATTGTGGGGAATAGATACCATGTATGCATATATAAAACATCGACTAAACAGCTCGAGAATCGGACTTTGCAACGCCGACGAGGCTGTAGTCAACGAAGATAATCATTCACGACGCAGCAGCGAATGTGAGTACCGTCATTTTGTGCAATGGCGAAAATGGCCACTTTAGTACATTACTTATAACTTCTACCACGCGATGTTTATATATATCTTTTTCCTGGCAGCCAATAATTCGTGAACAGACATGACGAAGTTACGATGCCGATACAACTTACACATCAAAAGGATAAATTTGTATAACTTGCTGCCACTGTCCAGCATACGGCATACAAATGCAAAATATCGACAAAAGTGTTAACGAACGCCTCACTTCCGAGGTGGGACTTATCATGCACATATGTAATACCTCCAACAGAACAAAGAGACTTGATACGGCAGTTAAGAATATTACAAACGTGTATGGAGAGAAATGGCAGGCACTGGGCGCACGACGAGAAAGAGAAGATAGGAAGGAATCAAAAACAGGCTGTTCAATTCCCCTAATTCCCAATACTACCGCAGGGGAAAAAAGCACCAGAGAAGATGAAGTCGACAAACGCAATGTGCAAAACTATGGTAGACCCAAGATAATCAGAACATGTACACCGGGACAGAACGCAAATACCAGACCGACTGCTTGCCATAGAACGATGAAATCAGAAGACATGCTGCGAGGAAGGCAAACAGCTCCTCCTCGCGCGAAACAAAGGACACACTTGGATAACAAATCTTGCCCATATCGATACGATCCTTCCCTCCGCTTCTATATAATTAGTAGATCTCATTGACGTACGTAGCCACTTTGGCTTTGCAAAAATAAAATTGGAGAAGAATTTTTAAAAAAAAAATCAAAAAAATCGTATCGACGCCCCTGCCTCACGACTTGTCGCCGTCGTGGTCAGGGACATAGTTCGTCTCGCCCAGCATGCCAGCACCGCCTGATGAGGCCGTCGTCGTCATGGTCGCATGTGTGCTGGACAGCGGCTGTGTCTGGACCGTCGGGCCGGTCGTCGCAGGCGCGGGCGTCGAGCTTTCGGCCGCAGCGGGTGCCACAGATGCCGATGACGGGCCGGCCGTGGCCGCAGCACCACCGGCACCTGCGCCGGCTGCGCCGCCATGACGTGTTGCGGCATTGGCCGCGGCAACGCGCAGCCGCTGATCCAGAGCCCGGAGCGCCAGGGCGCGTTGTCGCTCGGCCTCGGCGCGGGTACCACCGGGACCGCCTCGCTGGCCGTGGTGGCCGCCATGGTGCATGTTGTAGCTGTCGCCGCCAGCAGCAGCAGCGGCAGCGGCACGAGCCGAGATGTCGGCGGCAGAGAACGGCGTGCAGATGCGCACGGCCACCAAGATGCCAAAGACGGCGTCGGCAACGGCGGCCACGACGGGCTTGACGGGGGCCGGGAAAAACTCGGCAAATGCAAACGTCTCGCTGGCGTCGCCGCGCAGCGACGGGCCCTGCGAGACGTCGAGGTCAGGGAAGGCGGACTTGTAGAAGCGCAGGTAGGTCCAGCTGGTGAGGAAGCTGAAGAAGGCGAGGAAGGTGGAAGCGGCGGTCAGGATCGGGGTGAGGGAGAGGGCGATGACGGCGACGAGGTAGAGCAGGGGGAAACGGGGCACGCGCAGAGACAGAATGCCGCGGAAGAGCGTGACGGTGTGCGCGGGCACGAGCTGGCTAAAGGCGACGAGGAAAGCAATTTGTAGCGGGATGGTGCCGGCGACCGATGTCAGGCTGCACGAGAAAGAAGGCAGCGTCAGTATTGTCAGTATTACGGCTGGTGGAAAACGGAGGAGTGCGGAGGACAAACATACGTCCAGTTCTCGTCCTGGGTGACGGAGAACAAGAGAACGAGGGCACCAAACGTCAAAAGGTTGGGGATCAGACTGGCGACGAGCAGGAACTTGGCGAACTCGCGCGAGGACCAGGCGCGCTCTAGGTAGCGGCCGCCCTGGTGCAGTGTGACGCAGGCAATGCCGAGCGTGAAGATATTGCTCTCAACCAGCGTTGTCGTTAAGAACGTCCATGGGTAGATGATGGACAGCTGGGGAATAAGATTGAGGTAGGGAATGACAATGTGCGACTGGGCGGTCCACTGGCGGTAGCGGATGGCGGCGCTGAGGACGGACTGGACGACGAGCACGCCAAGGGCGATGCGCGTCACCGGCGGGAGGTTGAGCCGCGGCGGCATGGCGGCGGCTGTGAGGGTAGAGGTGGATGCGGAAAAGAAGAGCAGAGCACGGGGAGGCGCCGCGAGAAGAAGGCGAGAGACGTTGGACCGGCCGCGGGGAGGATGGAAGGCGCCAGGAGGGAAACAGAATGGTCACGATCAGGGGAAGGAGTGTTGATCGCAGCTGCCTAGCTGGTCGCGGTTGTCGTTCTTGCCCCGGGAAGGTTTTCGCAATCGCCGTAAAATGTAAGGTTGTCGATCACGTGGTGGTGGTCGGCACAAGAGCGTGGAAAAACATAAAAAAAAAGATTGCCAAACAGGGACACGGGGTGAGGTTAAAAATGAACGACGCAGGTATGCGCGTATGAAGTGGCTTCTCGAAGCTTGGTTTGAGCGATGCAAAAAGCGGGCCGGTCGGCCACCAAACCTGAGCCAACGAGGGCAGGTAGGGGATTCATGGCAGCCTTAGGCATCAAGATTGCAGATAGCGCCTGCTCCATGTGCGCACGCCAAGGCTGGACAAAAAGGGGCAGGGGCTGCACTGAAGATAACCGGGCAGAGAGTGATGACTAAGGTTCTGGAAATGTGAGGCTGGCCCGGCGTTAATGGTGAGGAGGAGGGGGGTGACTTGCATCTTCAACGAGTTAGTGGTACGTTTTGAAGTAATTACTACATAATCCATAGCTTGACATCTCTCGGCTGCTCCCCGTAGCATCGACCCTGTGTGGCCCAGCCAGCTCCCTAGCCGTTCCATTGCATACGCTGCCTCAATCCAACGCGAACAGCGGGTTTTCGTGAAGACGCACGGACCAGTATCCGGCTTGGCCACTGCACCGTCCTCCTGTTTTAAGCATGTAGCCAGCTGGCGCTGCCAAGCAGGAAGTGGCACAGAAAAACGCAGCCTAACGAACCAGCGGGTGGACCTACCAAAGAACAACGGCCAGAGGGAAGTAAAATGGCCGGCAAGACATGGAATCTGTGCGTGCCGCACTGCGAAGACAGATCCAACAATTCTCCGTCGAATGCAACTGGTCTCGTCTGTGGCGACTTTTCAAGGTGTTTCTCTCGACTCTCTCCGGCCACTGGCCTGTCCTGCTCAAAGCATCGTGCCCTTTGCCAAGAGCAAATAGGTTCGTGTTTAGAGTCTACAGAAAGAGCGAGACGAGGGCTTTCTGCCCAGACCACAAACAGGGCCAAATCGTGGGTGTGAAACGGCATTAGAGGCCTTGTCTTTGTCCAAGAGTCAACCATTCAACCGGTCCGTAGGCGAAACGGGAAGACATGGAACGACAGAGGCTTAAAACGTCGTCCTATGTGGGGACTTGGAGATCCACGTCGACATTCACCCTATTCACCCTCGGCCACACAACTACACCCACCACACACCAACACAGTCGATTCGTGCTGCAGCTTGTGGTAGTATGTACTAATGGCAGGCTGCATCCGACGGTTGTCGCAGGGAGTCTCCCTGTCTTCCTACAAGGCCAGAAGGCCTAGCCTTTTGGTGCTCGCGTGGTGCGGGTCAGCCAAATAAGTTTCTTTGGGTGGTGTCTTGCCTTCCCGGAAGTCTCCTCTTCAGGGTTCCATGGCTCCTCCCTCCACCCAAACGCCAGAGGCATACCTTTGGTGACTTCCTGCGGAGCCCAAGGGTAATTCTAGCTGATGTACAATTTACGACGCACGGGAGGAGAAATGGACTTGGCTCGAAGAGGGCCTGCTGTTGGAAATGGAGAGAACGTCCAGCATGGCGTTTTCCTGTACTGAACATGGAGAGCCTGCGCGCCGCCTGAAAAATGCGACGGGCAGCGAATATGGCCCAGCTCACAGAGTCATCGACAGAAATATGGGCCCGACTGGACCCGCTTATTTTCATGAGCATACCATATGGATGGTGGCTCTCTGACCCCCTATTGTTCAATTGATATGGATTGGGTTGTACTTCGTACTTTATGGGGTTTCTTTTGGCGCCAGCGCATTGGAAGACGAGTGCTCAAAATGAACAAAAAATGAGCGAAAGAAGGAAAAGACTGGGCAGCTGTTGACCTATCGTTTACGCCCAGAATCGGGCTGGTCATGATGACATTTGGATGGTAGCCAGTACTGTGCGGGTCGGGGGTTTCTTTGTCTCTCGGATCTTTACGTTGCTTCACGTTGACGCCTTTCACGTTGACGCCTGGCACCTTCTTGACCCTACTTTAGATTGTCGGTGAGGTTATCTGAACACGTCTACAGCCCCCTCCCTATGGATTTCTGCAAGCTGCTAGTGCGGATGAAGACATGCGCAAATACTCGTACTTGTGCGAGGTACGAACCCGTAAGTATTTCATATCTTTGTCCGTACCGCATGTCAGATCACAATCGGGCACAATGCGCGTGCGCCAAAAAGTGGCATACATGGGGTTGGTTATATCCGGGGCATCATCGCTTGAGGATGCAAGTACCATTGACGCGAAATAATGTGTGGATGGTACTTTCACCCTGCCCGCTGAATGTGTTTGCAGGTGTGGCCTGGCCAGGTCCAATCATCCTTGAAACATGGGACATGGGCTACCACCGGACTATTTTCCTGCTGTTCGATGCCCCGTTTCCGCCACGGGTTGATTTCGTACCGTATCTGAATCAGTAATTCCTTATTTCGGTTTTGCTGATTTACCACAATATTTGTGTGGCCAATATTATTCCATTAATTGTGAGGCATGCCGAACGAGACGCGGGGACCAATCAGCGTTTGCTGCCGGCTGCCGGCCCCAAACTGCTCCCCAAAACCATGAACAACGAAAGAAGGAGAAGGCGAGGACAACGAGGTGGGGAGAAATGTCATACAGCAACAGGCCCTTCCCGCGATCAATACCGCGTGCCGTGCTAAAAAAAAGCGCATCTGGCATGTTGAGGGATTGCCTCACGTTTACGGCCTGCCTTGACTTTCTTTGGCACGTAGAGACACAGACCACAGAAACATACTACGCCAAACGTTGTTGAGGGCGTACCAGAGAAAACGAAATCGTCATAGGTGATGTTACCTGCCGACAAAGAAACGGACCTGGAAGATCTGTCGGGAAACTGTCGCTTCTCAACACATGCTGCGTACGGAGTGCAGAACACACAACTCACCTTTCTGAAAGGGCGTTTGCTAATGAGCTCAAAGTGGCTTGCAAGGAACAGGCGATCATTCATCAGCACACCCGTACTCCGACGCTGTGGACCACGGTATGCAGTTCTGGTGTACGATACATTACACGGAGCATTTTTTGGCATTACTTTCTGTGGCTTTTGCCACCGAGAGGAGAAGAAACAGCGCTGAGGAAAAAGCGACAACAGGTGTTTATCCTGTCCGAAACCTCGCAGATGAATGAAAGAGACGGTGGCCCGACCTGGGTCACCGCGTGTAACATTTTGACCAAACCGTCCTGTCTTTTCTTTCCCCTTCCTTTGTTTCGCACATACCGCCTCTCTTAAAGCAAGTTGTGACAAAGTACTATTTGTGTGGGCATACACCAAATTAGTACATGCGTCTCGAAATGGTATCATGAGATTATGGGGTATCAGCGCGTGATCTTTTGTAACACACCTCGGTGCGCTATTCCGTACTGCACTATGCCAATAGCAAGGACCAATGGAGCCTCTCACCAATCGTTGCCAATTCTGCCCTTCTGCCGCGTTTCTACGGAGGAGGAGCGCTGCGGGCCTTTTTGTCTGGAGTTTTAGCGTGAATCATAAAGCCATTGCCAATCTCGTGGAATTGGTCGCCTTGCCACTGTCTTTGTTTTTGTCACATATCTCAATGTAGCAGTACTTGTAGATCTAGCTTACGCTGGGGGCACTCAGAGTACTCCTACGCGCCAATTAGAAACCACCGGCACTAGTCTCCAAAGCCTGGCCTCGTCTGGCTGGCCTCGTCTGCTGGCCTGCGGCGAACGAGCCGGACTGGGTGGCCTGCACCTCAGGGACTGGGCTGGACTGAACATTATTATTCCCCACCGAAATTGAAAGTCGATGCTGCACACCGCGACCTGGCGCCCCTGTTGCGTGTGTTTGGATTGCTCCTTCCCTTTCGCATGCCGTTTCTGGTCTTTCCTTTTCTGCATTCCCTGGCCCTTGCGTGGCCCCCCCTCCCCACCCAACACAAACTGTGGACGGGCTCCGGAGAATGTTCCAACTCACCACACCCACACGTCCACACGTCCACACGCCCCCCTTCTTTCCCAAAGATCCTTGTTCTTTCATTCTCTGTCCCTACCAGGTGGAAGATCCCCTGTTTCTCTTGTGCCTTCCTCATTATTACCACCTGGCTGGCCGTTCCTGCCACATTCCTCCTGTCCCCATCCCGTCTCTGCCACTGCGTGTTTCTTTTCAACCCGTTCGCTCTTGCCTTCGTGGCCTGTGGCCTGTCATCTCACGCGCAAGGCCCGAGAAGGCACCGCCGTGTTCTTGCGCGCCCACACCCCATTGTCTTGGCCGCCTAAAACAGCCTCTTGTCACCCAGCCCAGTCCCGTCCCACGCATCGAATGTTGATTCTCTCTGCCGCCGCTACTGGATACCGCCCATCTGCAGCAGTGACTAGCACCCACGCCGTAGCTTTCTATTCCTAGTCTCGTCCCGTAGGCGGCTTTGCTTTCCAGCTAGTTTTTTTTTCTCGCGCGCTCGCTTCTCCATTGCTCTTACCTTTCCATTCTCCTCCACCTTTGCGTTTCTTCTTCGCTCTTTCCATTTTTGATCTCTCCTTCCTCTTCTTCCCCATACCATCGTATCTGCTCTTTCCTGTTCCAAGACACCCTTTCCTTCCTTCCCTTATCCACTGTTTCGTGTGCACGTCAACGACACGCGCACTTTGCCCAGCTTCAACTTCTCCTGCACTCCCCTCTCATCGTAACATATCCAAGCTTCTTTCGTCTTCATACCCCCCCGTCCCCCCCATTATCATTTCTTAACGTTGTTTTGTAACTGTCCGACTTCGTCAGCTGGCATCTGCCCGCGGTTGTGGCCGTTTCACGCCCTTCATTTTTTTTTGTTCTCTGACCCC